TCCCTCCCTCCCTCCCTCTCTCTCTCTCTCTCTCTCTCTCTCTCTTTCTTTCTTTCTTTCTTTCTTTCTTTCTTTCTTTCTTTCTTTCTTTCTTTCTTTCATGAAAAAACATTTATTAGCCAGGCGCTGGTGGCTCATGCCTGTAATCCTAAACTACTCAGGAGGCTGAGATCTGAGGATTACCATTCAAATCCAGCCCAGGCAGGAAAGTCCATTAGACTCTTATTTCCAATTAACCACCATAAAACCACAAGTGGCGCTGTGGCTCAAGTGGTAGTGGGCTCGCCTTGAGCTGGAGAGTGCAGGGACAGCGCCCAAGTCCAGAGTTCAAGCTCCAGACTGATGAAAAAAAGAAAATACTTTTTTTCTTTTTTTGGCCGGTCGTGGAACTTCCACTCTGGGCCTGGGCGCTGTCCCTCAGCTCTTAGCTCAAGGCAAGTGCTCTACCACTTGAGCCACAGCGCCACTTTCAGAAAATATATGTATTGATACATCTGAAAAATTACCAGCCCTACTTTTTTATTTTCTGTCAGGTTGTGGGGCTTGAACTCTGTGCCTGAGTGCTGTTCAGCCACAGCACCACATCTAGTTTCCTGGTGGTTAATTGGAAATAAGAGTCTCATGGAATTTTTGGCCCATCCTGGGGCTTGAACTAGCCTGTGAGCTTTCCCTAAGCTGCTTTTTGCTCAAGACAAGTTTTCTACTGTGTGAGCCACAGTACTCATGTGTAGTTTATTAGAGATAAGAGTCTCTAGAAGTTTCCTACCCAGGCTGCCTTCGAACTGCTATCCTCAAATCTCAGCCTCCTGAGTGGCTGGGATTACAGGCATGAGCCACCAGTGTCCATCTTGCCAACCCTACTCTTCAGAGGCATTATTGTTAACACTGTCTGTGTATATTGTGTTCCAATGCATTCATACTGTTGTCTCATTTGTGCTTATATATCTTATGTTTCCTTTCTATTAGACAATTGCAGATATCATCCGAACATGTTTAGGACCTAAATCTATGATGAAGGTAGAGTTATCTAATTAAAACTTCCACGCTACAGATTTTTCTTTCTTTTTTTTTTTTTTTTTGTCATCTAAAACGCTTAATTTTGGTTTGTCTTAGATGCTTTTGGACCCAATGGGAGGCATCGTGATGACCAATGATGGCAATGCCATCCTTCGAGAGGTATGTTTTGTTTTCATTTACTTTCTGACAGCTTTGTAAAATGGATCCATTAAGATTCAAGTTGGGCCGGGCGCTGGTGGCTCACGCCTGTAATCCTAGCTACTCAGGAGGCTGAGAACTGAGGATTGCAGTTCAAAGCCGGCCCAGGCAGGAGAGACTGTGAGACTCCTATCTCCAATAAACCACCAGAAAACTGGAAGTGGCGCTGTAGCTCAAGTGGTAGAGTGCTCGCCTTGAGCTGAAGAGCTGAGGGACAGCACCCAGGCCCAGAGTTCAAGCCCCA